CGGGGAGGGAGGGGCAGCCGGCAAACGGAGGGCAAGATGGCAGGAGGGGGGCACGGCGCTCCGGGTGAGGCTGCGGCCAGCCCAGGCCGGGTGGAGATAACCCGGGTTCCACGATTCCCACATTTCTGCCTCACGGAGCGTCCGGTTTCTGCGCTCAGACCTCGTCCGGGCAGGCAGAGGGTGAGGCCCCACGGCAGAGCCCGGCTCCAGGCGAGCAAGGCCCGGGAGAGCCACATGGATAAGGAAGCGCTCCCTCACAAGAAGGAGGTGCAGTGCCGAGTCTTTTCAGCCCGTATGTATCGAGCTACTTGCTGATTTGCTACCAGCTTCCTAAGGTGACAAGAGCATTTGGTTATTCAAAGCTTGAGATACACCTTTTTATTAATTCCTTCCAAGCTCCTAAACACCATTATACGGGGCAACCAAATACATTTATTAACCTCAAAATTATTAAAATAAATCCAAAATGCAACCAAAACTACCTCAAGTATCTCTGTGGTTTAAAAAAAAATATATATATAAGGTGCAAAATGGTGAAATACTTGTTTTGATATTCTGCTTCTATACTTTGCCCGTCGCAGAGGAATTGGGATGTCAGAAATACACCCATTGATCCGAACAGATTGTGAGCCAACAGCTCTTGCACAAGGGTACAGCCAACACCGCCCAAGCGTCGTTCGAGCTCCCCATGATTTCTCCAGCGGCCAGGTTAGTGAAATTCATTTCGCACCGTTGGGGTACGGAGACTTAGAGAGGCAGGACCGAGTCTGGAGCCTAGGCGGCATGTTGCAAACACAGAAGTACAAAGGGCCACGCATATCAAGGAGAGTTCTTCCCCACACACTTGTTCGAGCTCCCTGGGCTAACCTGGTACAGAACCAAAAACTAATTCTGTAGTGATTGGCACTTTACAGAACTTAGGTTCAGTTACATGACTGTGAAAAGGGACAGAGAACAAAAGCCAAGGGAAACCACCGTTTTCACCACTGCCATGAACATTACGGGTTGTACCTCAAAAACTCCTCAAATTTATGTAGTTTTTCAAATTAATGAGATGCTGCTCAACATGAAGAAAATCAAACTAAAAATGAAGCCACTGCCTCCCTTCCAACTGTTGACAGCCTCTTTCTTTAGTAAATCCTTGGAGTAGGGCGCAGCCACCCTCTAATCCGTTCAGGGCTGAGCCGAGCTCTCCAGCTCTGTTCATTACTCCCCATCTCATACCCTGCTGCCGTCGGGTAGGAGCGTATTCCTATTGCCTCTTCCTCCGGCTGAGTACTTGCCAATTTAAATCTTACACTCTGAAGTAACACCCAGCCTGTGGCGTGGAGACTTGCCGAGTTGACAACTGCTCTCCATTCCCACTCTGGCAGGGGATGCCGAGTGCTTAGGAAGCAGCTAATGCTGGACAGCTCTCTCCTTCCCCCTTTCGAGACAGCTATTCCCATCGGTTCTCCTTCGCTGACCATTTCCGACACATTCATACCAGCACCAGCTCGGATCCTGATGAAATCCACTCAGCAGCCAGGGGCACACCGGACTCCTGGTTTTGTGAGCCACGGCATGCAGAAACGGGGTAGAGCAGATGGAATAGAAGGGTTAAACTTTGAGTGTAGCTGTACAAATCCATGTGAGGTACGTATGGATAATTCGTGGTTTTCACGACATGCACTTAAACCCCCTCGCCTGTTTGCCAGCTCTGGCAGACAGCAAGCTGCAGAGCACGCTGAAGTTCCACGGCAGAGGCCCAAAGGCCTGGGGTTGCACTGCTGTTTCTTTTTCATGACTTCCTTCTCCCCAGCCTACGCTCTCACATTTGATTCAGCTTTGAGCTTGTTACATCCAGAACCCATTCCCCCTCTCCTCCGCTCCAAGGAGAGCACATCATAGAATGTCAAAATCCTGTATTAGGCTTTATTCTTTTATATAAACATTAACATTTCTCAAACAGATTAGTTAAAAATACAGATTTAAACAAGAATTTTTGCAATTGCAATGAGTTATAAAAAACAACAGATTATTTTACAGATTGTTACAAGTGCTTTACAAAGGTGCAGAGTGAAGGCCAGTGGCAGGGGACCAACCTCAAGTGCAAAATGGACACGATACCCTCACCATGGGCATAGCGCTCAGATACACAGCCAAAACAAACAAACAAACAAACAAATAACACGAGCCATGTGAACCTAGGCTCTTGGGATGCTCACCGGGCAAGCAGACATAGACCCCTATGACAGAGAAGGCTCATGAGACCAAGCTACCAGGATACTGAAGGTTACATCTCTGAGATCAGCTGTAAGATGATGTTTCTTGGAAAATAAGGAACGTGTTTTACAACAGTCTGTTTCTCTTCTGTCAGACAAAATATTGCTGTAAATCCTAGAATACTTATGGATGTGGATACTTAATAACTCAGGGCATAAATCCAGTGTGGATCTCACAGTGCCCCTAAGTGAAGCAAGGATACAAAACCCAAGTGTCCTTCTAAAGCAGTTGGCACTCCTCATACGGGAGGAACCTCCATATCCCACGAGCATCACTGAAACCTTGAGCAAGTATCTTGGAAAGACTTTGGCAAAAGGAAGAAGACGCGAGTGGATCTGGTTACACCCAATACTCCTGCGGCCCATGATCCGAGTGTTGTGCAGCCCACAGCTTACGCAGTGCCCACAGATTTCACGAAATGCAGTGTGTCATAGAATCATGGAATCATAGAATGGTTTGGGTTGGAAGGGACCTTCAAGATCATCTAGTTCCAACCCCCCTGCCATGGGCAGGGACACCTTCCTCTAGACCAGGTTGCTCACAGCCACATCCAGCCTGGCCTTGAACACTGCCAGGGATGGGGCATCCACAGCTTCTCTGGGCAACCTGTTTCAGTGCTTCACCACCCTCTCTGTGAAGAATTTCTTCCTGATATCTAATCTAAACCTCCCTCTCTCCTTGTCCGATAACATCTTCACACCCACCTTGGAACACATACCACGTGCTCCAAATTCTTGGAAGCTCTTGAGATCCTTCCGCCACACCTACCTTGCCTAGGTACCAGTCCTTCCCACCTATCTTTCATCTATTCCACCCCTAAAGATAAAATCTATGCCCTGATTTGTTTTGAACTAAAGTTTTCCAGCTGTTAGCAAATCAAAGCTAAAGTGAGCTGGCTGAGAACCACCATGAAATAAAGCTGCAATGTATTGCATTAAATCCACTACCTGATGCCTGACATCTTCCTGATGTACAAATGTTCCCTACCCAGAGGGCCTCCCTGTTAGACAGAGGGTACTACACATCAGAGGAATCTTTTTTCCAAAGGAGGGCCAAGAATGAAAGGGCAGCTCTAGAGATGAAGTCTCATAATAAAGAAATAACAGCTACTTCTCTTGGAACTGTCGTACAGGGCAGCACATACAAGAGATTTTACTTATAGGAAACCCAGTGAAACCCCTAGAACATCCACATTGACTTCCCTGAGCTCCTCAGATCCAGGTACGCTGGAGACCCTGCAGAAGCCTTTTGAGCTGGGTTACTCTCAACAGAGAGGGTTTGGCAAGTTCCTGCAAATTCATTTTCATAATCAACAAGAGAGGAGAGGATCAGTGGGCAAGCCCTCGGGACATGCTCAGAGAAGAGAAAGACTCCAAAGGAAGAGAGGCGCGTGGGTGCGGGGAAGATCTTCATTTCTACCGTTTTCAGATGTTTCATGTTATTCCTTTGGGGTACGGGCACTACGTGGAAACCAACCCCCCCCCCCATCTGATCTACCCCAGCTGCCTCCTGCATAGTCACATGACAACATCGCTCCCTGCACTGCCTATCCCAGAGTTCAATGCTTTGGAGATGGGAGGCTGGCTTCTCATTAGCAAAGGCTGGGAGATGGCGTTATGACGGCACGTCAGTGCCCTGGGAGCATGCGGTCACTCATGCACATCCCAGATTTCTGAGAGCAGGGGAGGAAGTTTCTTGTCCTGCAGCCGAAGGGCAAACACCTGTTCGGAGTGGACACTACTTAGTGTCCGAAGACTGACCAGCTTCATTAACATCCGTGGAAACATCAGGCGGTCCTGCAGAGTCAGACACGTAGACAGCGGTTAGTAAATTCACACTAAAACTTAGTTAAATTACCGCACCAGATGATGCGCTGTAACCACAACCCTGACTTCCTCTAAACCTGGCATTCTCCAGCAGGTGGCAGCGTGGAGGAACACAAATACTACACCATATCCCAAAACTCCAGGCTTTCCACAACGGCCAAACTATGGAACACGACACAGGACAGCAGGCTGTGACAGCTCACAAATCCTGCATTTACAGCTGCTACCTAACAGCCACAAAAACGAAGAGCAGCAAGTACAGGCAGAGAGACCCGTTACAGACAGTACCGCAGGAACTGGGCCCGCGTAAACGCCAAGCCAGTTTGCAGCGTCGCTGGAGATGTTCTGGTCAGGCACTTACGTTTGGTCTGTTGATGCAAATGTAAGAATGAAGGGCTTCCACGTAGGTGTGCTGCAGCCTCTCTACCAAGGACTGGTCCTGCACATTCGGTCGGTCTGCCAACAAGGAGGTCAGAAGTGAGTGGACTGCCATGGGCAGCTTCACCAGACTTGACATCCCCACCTAACCCCTGGTCCCTCAGGACGGTCTCTCCCCAAAACCTCATCTAGCATTCACACAGCACACCTGGGAGAGTCATTCCATTCGGGAGGCAATGGGAAAGCCTCTCCAGCAGCTGAGCTAGTTAGAAAACAGGAACAAAGGAAAAAAGACAACCATCTTTCAGGCCAGCAGACCCGAGTGAGAAATGAAGCGTGGGGGTGGCTGCTTTGCAAGGCCCCGGCCCGGCCCCGAGCGATGCCGGTCGCACACCCAGGGGAGCTGCAGGCGGCCACCAGGTGTCACTGGTGCCGCGCGACAGCGCCGGCCGCACGAGGGGACAGCGACAGCGCCGGTTCTAAACGAGGAAGGTAAAGACTGCCTGGTTCTCCTACACACCCTTCCAGCAGCAGGCAATCTGATTCCTCTGGAGGTGGCACTACCAAATTCAGGATATAATGAATACCCTAAGCAGCAGGAGTGCCACACGCCCTTTACCAGCTGGCCCTGTACACCCCCTATTACTCTTCTCCAGCTTGTGACCATCCGTAACTCTACTTTGCCCTCTGACTCACTGCTGCTTCAGATCTGCTTCAGACCTCCCTGGCTTTTTACCTGCAGAGAAAATGTTGATGGCGATCAAAAGTGCATATTCAGCGTCATTGAGCTGTAGCTCATTCATTCCCTTTGAGAACTCAAAGATGGGGTTAATGAACTCAAATTGCAGACCTGCAGCAAACAGAAGAGAACAAGGTGAGGCAACAACAATTGTCTCCTCCCTCTCATGGAACAAACTGCCAGAAACCCACCAGAGTACGCCAGGAAGTGGGGAGGACAGGCAGGCGGGGAAAAGCCCTTACAGAAGGTTCTAAGTGTGGCTGAAACCTCCCTTTACATCCCACTACTGGTGAGCACCAACAACAGCAGCTGAGGAGTCAGACTGTAACAGTAAAATGATGTTACTTCTGAGGTTTCTTAAATGCCCTACAGCACAGTACTTGGCAACAGCTAAAGGAATACAACACCAACTATCAGTTAAGTCTGTCAAAAAGTCAGAAGCACACAAGTAAATCTACGTTTTTCACTCTCACACCATCACCTCCTTCAAACCCGGCAGCCCTCCTGCTTTCAAAGAGAGCTTTAATCCCATGCTCCACATTCACCAGAAGTCCATCTGAGCTGAAAATACATAGTTGCAAGAAGTCTGAACTTTAGGCCTTTCCCCCAGAACAGCATCCAAGTTTCTAATTTTCTGCAGGACAACTGCATCAGAGAAGGATGAACAACATGGAAGGAATCTTTCTGGCTGCCTGCTTTTTGCCTTCCTAGTAATCTGAAGAAAAGACTGCTGTGAAGAGTGCTGAAGAGCAAAGTCGTATATAAAAGCCATCTCAAGTATATATGGTTAAATAGCTACCCCAAGTAATCAAAACAACAACAACAAAAAACCTCATGAAAGACAGCCATCGTCCTTTTTCCAGAAATGCCAAAGAGACACACTTTCTGTTACTTCATCTGAAATTACAGACACTCATTGCCTGGAAAAACAGGCTTCAGAGATCATATCACCACAGCCCATCGTACACTGAGCTGAAAGCATGTGCCTAAAGCTCCCTGGGGATCTTCAGCGCACAGGATAGACTTCATCTCAACTGAAACGTAATCACACCAACGTCATCACTTCAAGCATGCATCCAGATTAGCAACTGACACACCTGCAAAGATGACTAGGGTTTGATTTGTTGTGATCTGATATGGCTCTAAGACCACATGTCCACATCAGATCTCTACTAGCAAGGAAGTTCACACCAGCTGCTAGCCCTAGGTGCGCTCTTACAGCAAGATTTTACTGCTGCAAGAGTCCAAATTTTCAAAGTAACTTCACACATGAAAAAACAAAAGGGACATGAACTGAGCTAGTATGACATGTTAAAAGCAAAAAAAAAAAAAGGTATGTGGAGCTACTGATCTGGTCCTGTTCTAAACCTCTCACCTGACTTCAGCTCTAAGGCCCCCACATACTATTTCCAAGAGCCCACATTAAAAAGGAAAAGGTGAAAGAACGTAAGACACAGGGAAGGAAGAAACACCTGTCTAATGCACCACCTGCTTTGGCGAAGTCATCCCGATTATAACTCAGGTCCTTAAGAAAGGTGATGCTCTCAATCTCTGGGTTGTAGCGCCGAGATGTCTCCAACAACATCACCTGAAACCAGAAATAGATATACTTGATTTGAAAACAGGAAAGAGCGTTACAACATTGATAATTTGCTGTGTTAGAACATCTCTAGAAAAATAATAAAAAAAAAAAACACAAACCCCCAACCACAACACCCATCCAGTCAACCCAACAACACAAAAACCCCAACCAGAAATCCTCCAAGCAGTTTCTCCAGAGTGCTTAAAAATTCCAAAGTAAATCCTGCTGCATCCTTTGAGGCGGCTGCTTCTGAGAAGGCGGAAATACCTGCTTACCAGTACCAAGGCTCTTGCCTCATTCTCCTCCATGGCCCTTTGCCAGGAGGCCTGGCACTGCAGTAATGGTGCCATAGCTGAGGTTCTTCAGCCTGCCATCCCAAAAAAAAGGATGGAACCAGTTCTCCAGGTGGGTACTCCAAATTCTTTCCTCTCTGCTACTGTGTAATGTAGTGGAGCCAAACTCACCTCTATGGTAGATGTCTTCAATAAAGCAATCTGATCTTCCCTGGTGAGCTCCAGGAAGCCAGGTAGTTGCTTGGCAAAGTCCACAATCTCTTGCACAGAGATAATTGCAAGTTCTGTAAAGTGAGCAAAACGCTGCTGCCTTGCTTCACGGTTATTAGGGTCAGGAACCTGGGGCCATGGCTGTGGGAATGGGAAGAGAGAGCGTATATGCATGTGAAAGATGGAGCCAGGGCAGAAAGATGAGAAGACAAATTGAACAGAGAAAGAAGCGAGACACGTTGGAACACCATCCTCTGCTATTCTTTACAGAACTTCAGCCCACAGATGCAATGCCTAAAGTACCTCTGTTCTCCCAAATCATTTACCCACAACCCCAACTCCCCTAACCTCACTATTTCTTATTTTCGGTACACTGATAGAGGTTTTACCGTCACTTTGAGCCTGTCTGTGAATGAGCGCTGGTTGCACTGCTGCTGAGCGGCCACAAGCTTTTTTATCATGCCCAACTGTTCAGGTGTCAGCTTGTGGGAAGGGCTTGACGGATTCGGAGGGTTTGGACGCACCACGACTGTCCGAGCCTGATCGTCTTCCTGCTTCTTCAGTTTCTTCAAACGTATCTGTTCTTCAGACAGAACATCTAAAGCAAGAATAGGTGGAGGTCAATCATGACACAGGAGCACACTGGAAACCACACTAAACCCAGAGTAACATGCTGTGGGTGGAGAGACAGAAATCACAGCTGTCTGCATCCGGTGTATCCGCGTCTACGCAACACAGACAACAGGCACTGATCCTTATCGTTTGTTTCTCCCTCTTTTCCCCACTTTAAGTTGTTCCACTGCCTTCCTCTTAAATCATACAGTTATGCTAAGTGTTCAAAGAGGACAGAAGCTCCCTCTGTGATACCCTGCAGATCTGAGAGACAAGAGCGACTTTCCCCACCGAGCAATTCCCCAAACTGTCATGTTCTATCGGATTCCAGCACGTGCTCATGGTGTGTCCATTGTCTTCTATAGTATCCTGCTGCCGTGTCTTTTTCCAATCTTGCTAAATTAACAGCTCATGCCATTTCATCTTCCTCTGGAGAGGTCAGAGTCAGTACTGGATGGAGTTTGAGAGCACAAGGACCATTCTCTACAGAGCCCACCTGCAACAGGCCATAGAGCAGTGACATACCACAAGAATAATAAAGAATGAAAGAAGAGCTTTGCATAAGATCTACTGAGGACCACAAGTCCTTCAGGAGCAGGGCTAGAAGTCGTCTTCATGAAGTCAAAGGATGTGCCATTTAGATGTAACACTAAGGAGTAAAACAACTCGGATGCATGTGTTGTGAAAAACCTTACTGGACCTCATTAGCTGATTAGACAATTTAAATACAAAAACCTGTTAATGGCCTGTAACCAAGTTAACTGAAGAACTCACCGATTTGGATGTAGAGGAGGTTGGTTAGTTCTTTATGTAAAAGCTGTAAAAACTATCTGCAAGCTGCACCCAAAAAAACCCAATCCCAAACTCCTAGGCATACCTGGGGTTCAAGGATTATCTTCAAGAGAATCATCCTGTAAGTTAGTCATGAATGAACAAAAAGCAGAAAAGGGACTCACTAGGAAAAAAACTGTATCTTCAAGAACAAAGATTAAAAAAACATAAAGCTTGATGTTGGAAACAAGAGTTTCCAACAAGAGTTTTCAACAGGAGTGCTGAAAGATTCTTAGGCCATTTTTTACGCACAGGTTAACAAGGAAACAGGACTGCTACACAGGAAGGCAGGCCCCAAAACTGAACAAGTACACACTTGCACTTCTCGCAATAACCACGTTAAACATGAAGACAAGAAACGGGGCACTACTGTGAGAGCGTTCCGAAATGGACAGTCCTTGGGATTGTTGTGGTTTAACTCCGGCT